TCTCTCTCTCCCTCTCTCTCTCCCTCTCTCTGCTGCCGGGCACACCAGGAGGCACCGAGAGTACCGTCACCATGTGCCTGTGCGGCCTCGGCGTGGTCATCATGACCTGCTGCATTGCCGGTCTCATCTTCAAGGTCAGCAACGTTCTTCTTTCTTTCTCTTTCTTTCTTTCTCTCTCTCCCTCTCTCTCTCTGTCTCTGCCGCCCGGCACACCAGGAGGCACCGAGAGTACCGTCACCATGTGCCTGTGCGGCTTCGGCGTCGTCATCACCTGCTGCATCGCCGGTCTCATCTTCAAGGTCAGCACCGTTTTCTTTCTTTCTCTTTCTTTCTTTCTCTCTCTCTCTCTCTGTCTCTGTCTCTCTCTGTCTCTGCTGCCCGGTAAACCAGGAGGCACCGAGAGTACCGTCATGTGCCTGTGCGGCTTCGACGTCTTCATGACCTGCTGCATTGCCGGTCTAATCTTCAAGGTAAGCACCGCTTTCTTTCTTTCTCTTTCTCTCTCTCTGCCTCTCTATCTCTGTCTCTGCTGCCCGGCACACCAGGAGGACGGAGAGTACCGTCACCAGGCCGCCCCTCTCTCTCTGTCTCTGCTGCCCGGCACACCAGGAGGCACCGAGAGTACCATGTGCCTGTGCGGCTTCGGCGTCGTCATCACCTGCTGCATCGCCGGTCTCATCTTCGTCAGCACCGTTTTCTTTCTTTTTTAGTTTCTTCTTTTCTCCTGCTTAGCCCGTAATAACAAGGGATTGCTAGTAGTATCTTTCTTTCTATCTTTTGGTCTTGTTCTCCTTGGTCCTTTTTTCTTCTTTCTTTCTTTCTTTCTTTCTTCTGGCCTCTCAGTCACTGACGAAAGCTAGTGGATACTAGCTGAAACGTCTGACGTTTTCAAAATCATATCCAGTTGCTTGAGTAACTGCTTTTTGGCGTATCGTATTACCTGAATGTCTAACCTTCATCGACGTATGATCCCAATGATATTGAAGACGAACAACATTCTATTTTGAATTGTACACTATATAACGATAAACGCACAAAGCTGTTCAACCGTCTCTCCGCCTGCTCAACAGAATTTGTTACATTTCATGCTATAGATAAATTTAAGTTCATCCTAGAAGGCAATAACCCTTACTGTGTACAAATAGGTAAATATATCAAAGAATGTTTAGACCTTAGAACAAGTAGTATTAGTTGACCCACCTATTGTTCTGTACGTAGGATATTTTCGTTGTACCCATGTATATTTGTCTGTATATCTACATGTCTTAGACCTTACGAAAGTAGCTGTACTTTTGTTGTGTCAATCAATTAAAGTTCTTCTTATGATCGTACTTGTCTACTACTTGAAGGTTGCCTGTGACAGCCAGTCCAAGCACGACCAGAAGGTGGCCTGGGCCGCCCAAGCTGACCAGCTGCCTCGGAAGCTCAAGGCCGCAAAGACCTTCGGGATCGTCGTCGGCGTGCAGTGGGCCTCCTGGATGCCGCTCATCATCATGGTTTGTTTGTTTGTTTGTTTATTTATTTATTTAAATTGCAACACACCACAATACACATTGAGCACTAGGCAGCAAATTCAGCTAATGCCGTGTTCGGCATGCACATTACAAACACACAAGGTCAATGACCTGGACCAGACGTCTGTCACCATGGTAACTAGTCCTGTAGCAGACACCATTTGGTGTTGGGTTACATCATGTAGTATGCTGAGCTAAGCTGGGAGTGCTGGTCACCTTATAACGTTACATGTACTAGTATATGAATGGTGTGTTTGAGTAAGAATATTTAAAAACAGCGCAGTTATTTCTTTAGGCTTGACCCGTTTTTAATTGGGGTATTACTAAATAAAAAAGAAGGAAAACTAGAGAGGAAGAAGTAGAGAAGAGTTTTTATTCTTTTTTTTTTACTTTTTCAACTGTACAGAACCTTTAGACAGGGGAAAGGAGACCATGTGAAGCTTTACAAACACTATGCAGTTGCTTTGCAGATGTTACCCTTCTAGTATTGACGTGAAGGTTTATGATTACAAACACTATGCATTTGCTTTGCGAATGTTACCCTTCTAGTATTGACGTGAAGGTTTATAATTACAAACACTATGCATTTGCTTTGCAGATGTTACCCTTCTAGTATTGACGTGAAGGTTTATAATTACAAACACTATACATTTGCTTTGCAGATTTTTTTTTTAATTCCAACATGTAATCACCAGACGTGGTGACGACACACTCAAGTTTTTTCAACTTATATTAATGCCGCCACCAACACAGGGGACAAATACATGACAGGACAATACTCATTTACACCTGAGCTAAGTGAGGAAAGCCGTGTAAAGTGCCTTTCCCAAGGGCACAAGATCGGTGGCATGTCAGGACTCGAACTCGGGACTCAAAGTTCCGAGTCGCGCACTCTGCCGCTACGCCACACGACCCCACAGATGCAGATTTGCTTTACCTTTCTCGTGTTGACGTGTTTTTCTCTCAGGTGGCGACGCTGAAGTTTGTGGGCATCTCCGAGCACACGGCGGCCATCTTGGGTGACGTCACCTACAGCATCATGCAGACCTCGACCTACTCCGATTCGATCGTGTACGCCTATCGTAACGATATATATCGCAAGGCCATGAAGAAGGCCTACCGCAAGCTGCGAAGCGTCGTCAACGACTTCGAGTTCGAGTTCGAGATGAGACCAATGTAATTCAGACATCTACCGTAAGGCCACACCGTCTATTTTTATGGAAGACATCCGCGCTCGCATTGATTTTCGCCTGTTCTAAAAAAAAAAAAGAAGAAGACGTCCTCCGACGCTCTGACCAGTGCCGACTCATAAATTCCACAAAAGGCCAGCATGTGCCGGCTTGTCGTATGCGTCGCTATGTACTGCCGCAAGTTTACAATAGCAGCTTTGTATTTCTGTGGTTTAGTAGCATTTTTTGGACGGAAATTTTTTTAGTCGCCCGCGCGCACTAGTCTGGGAGTCTTCAGAGGATGTCATCCATAACATTAAGATGGTGTGGCCTAAGGCCATGAACAACTTGTACCACAATATCCGGAACGTTTAATATCAACGAGTTCAAATTCGAGTTCTAAGGGGCCCTGCATGGGGAGGGGGTCCCGACAACGCTCTCCGCTAAATTGTGAGAGCTCTCGATTACGCTTTACGATAAATTCCAGGTGGCTACAACCAATTACGCTCTACGTCGAATTAGAGCGGTCCGTCTACGCTCTACGTACAATTAAAACGGCCGATTACGCTCTAAGGAAAAGGGCATGCGGGTCCCCATTTCACCACACTAACCCCAGGGCCAGTCATCAACGAGTTCTAAGTCTACTTCGGGCCTTTTTTTTTCGGTCGTCCGGGGGGGGGGGCAGTTTGAGACCGCAAAGCCATAATGGCGAACCACATTGAAATTCTTTATTGACACAACAAAAAAGTACTGGCAATTTTCTATGGTCTTCTACAACTAAAGATACCAGATACGAAACGTCATCAACGAAGTTTATTCAGACTTCGGGATTTTCTTGGTCATCCTGGCGCCTAAAACACCACCAGACTTTCAGACTTTGATGTTATCATGGTGTCAGTTAAGTGATTTTTTGGCCAAAACGTTTTAAATAGAGTGAAACTTCACAAAACAGAACTATAACAAAGAGTTTGTGTGATAGGATAGACATATTCTATATACCAGCGCTGTGGCGTAGTCGGCACCATCAAACGACAACAGAAGCAGAAGGAAGAAGGTCTCCCGTGCTCTTATGCCGAGCGTAGGGTGGTGCCCGTCTCCATTTCCGTAGCCCTTGGGCGACACACAGTTGTGCAGTGCACTACATCAGGGGGCTAGTCCAGGTAGTGGCAGGCTAGGTAGTGCTATGTGTTTGACCTTCCCACACCCTTTCTCATATGTGCTGAGTGCTAAGCAGAGAAAGAAGTGTGTGCCATTTTTAAAGTCTTTGGTATGACCCGGCCGGGGTTTAAACTCACGACCTCCCGGTTACAAAGCGAGCACTCGAAAAAAGCAATTGAGAATTGAAAAGATGTTGCACCGGTGTAAAACGACAACAGATTTTGTAAAATCTGTTATTAGGAAGGCTCAGGCAAGCTATGCACGGTTTCAGTACCTTTGGACGTTTGTTTTTCAACTAGACAGATATGTCCATAAGAAATAACCAAATATGAACACCTCAAAAATTGTTTGGGTGTAAAATACTATGACTAGTATGAGATACTATTTTTGCAATAATGTTAAAAAGATATTTGATATGTATGAATGACAAAAAGATATCTAATATATATAAATATTTTTAAAAAATATTTAATATATAGAAATATTTTCAAAATAGATCTATATGGCCCATGCGAACAACCGTGCCTTTCTATAGGACTAGACCAAACACGTTTTGAATTTAGGGACTCTAAATTTGTTTTGGTATTAAGAAATATCTCTGGTACGAGAGGATTTAGAAGATTTTCATTTTAACCAGCTTCTGCCAGGATAGTAGTAGCTAGAATTGACCCAAACCATTTGTACAACGTCAGGACTGGGTTCCAATCTGCCTGGAATCCAGACCCGGAACAAAGCTACGACATCACAGCAAACGAAAGGACGACGTGACTTGCATATCAATTAAGAACTGCCGTCTCATGTTTTAAAAAACAATGTATTTTTCTCCAACAGTTTTTCAACGACGTTTTCAACGGTTAGACAGAGAAAAAGTGTCTTGCTTGTATGGTAGCTATTCAGTACAGTTTCGTATGCACAGCACGGGACTGATCACAGTTTACACAAGCTTCATTTGTTAGGGGTAATACAACCGTTGTCTTTGAGGTAGTACAACCGTTGTCTAATAATCTGTGGATTGGGCCTTCAACGAGCCCTAACAAAAAAGATAGTTGAGAGGAATCCATCGTAGCGAAGGGAATCAAACCTCTCTTTGCTCACCACCTGTTTGGAGGCCATACCTACCTGCAGGCAACAAAACTAATTGAAATGTCACTGCCTTTCCTGCTGTATGTGACACCATCATCTTCAAAGTGCGGATTTACTTTGAACTCTGCTGTGCAAGGCCAAAAAACACGTAAAGCCCACGAGGAATAGATATTTTAATTAGATTTGGCGAAATGTCGAGGATTTGATGTTTTCTACAGTAGTTAACGAATTATAAACCGCATATACCTAATGTATTTCTATTCAACTGGCTATGTCCTCCGGATATGCACAAATTACCATACCAACTCCATTCTGACTTGCATAGTAACAACTGACGTCTCAAGGTTTGAAAAGTATTTTTCTCCAACAGTTGTTCAATGAAACATTGTTAGACAGAAAAAACAACCGACCAAGTGTCTTGCTTGTATGGTAGCTATTTAGAATAGTTTCTTGGCCAAGTCAAGTAAGCCTATGTGCACAGCACGGAAATGATCACAGCTTACACAAGCTTCATTTATTAGGTGTAGTACAACCGTTGTCTTTGAGTGATACAAAGTTATGTAGAAGTATATGAGTCTAGGAAAATCAAGGAGGTTATTCATAACTTCCTTGTGAAAATGTAATAATCATTTATTACCCTCACCAGAAGGTTTTGTTTTTGTAAGCGTTTATATCTCAAGAAGCCATAGATGGATTGGTATGAAACTTGACAGATGTGTAGGTGTTGAGGAGGCCTAAAAGTGATTAGGTTTTTGGCTGCCTAGCGGCTTGTTATTGTACTGCAGCGGGACTTGATTTTGATATCTAGTGATCTGGAGATGCTGAGATAAAACTGTTAGGTGTAGTATATGATCAACTGATATGGTTCCTGCAAATGAGGATTTTATTTGCATAATCAAACATTTGCAATTTGACAATCGTACAGGTTACCATGATTGGGCGATGGTATGGGGTCGTCTAACTCTTGTGAAACAAGAAATTGTATACTGCAGCGAAACTTGATTTTGATATCTAGTGATCTGGAGATGCTGAGATAAAACTGTTAGGTGTAGTATATGAGCAACTGACGTGATTCGTCAAACATTTGCAATTTGACAATCGTAAAGGTTACCATGATTGGGCGATGGTATGAGGTCGTCTAACTTGTGAAACAAGAAATTGTGCAATATTGAAAGAGAGCGTTTTAGACAATGGTTTATATTTATAATGATATATGTTTATTTGCTATTTGTTATCCTTCTAAAGAATAATGATTTCACGTATCTGTGTTTAAGGTAGCTGTACCTATTTATCGGTATCTAAAGCTTTTGAATTGATGTACAAGTATCTGTGTGTTCTGTCTTAAATGGACCAGTACAAAATGTTTACTAAGAGTAGAAGTTTACTTGACAATGCCGTATTTGCATGGTATGCAGCAATAATCTAGGATCTTATAAAAAAACGCCTTTCTTTACATCGTATTTTGCCGTATGCTAAGCTGTTGCGGATATGATCATACCTTTATCAGATTGTTATTGTTATTGTTGTTGTTAATGTTATCATATATATATATATAGTGTTGTTATCAATGCCATGTTATTTATAGTGCAGCTCCTCAATGTGGAAAATTCTACTACGACTGACAATCCGAGTGAAACAGACTGGTGGAACTACCTCTGCTAGGTGTGCAATGTTGCTGCTGTCATATGTTTGTTTAATAAAGATGACGTGAAGAAAGTTTTTGGGTGCGTTGTGTTGTCATTTCCCACCACATGGAGGCAGCTTTGTCGTCGCGTAGTGGCTTCTAAACTAATGCCTTCAAACAAGGAAACTCTCACACCCAGGACTGTAGAAAATCGTAGGAAACAGGATTGTGGCGGTCGTGAGGATGCTTCTCTGTTTTCATTATGTGTAGTTTATTAGGTATTATCTGTGGATTGGGACTTCAATATGTGTTGACCTGTACACTTGAACAGAGTGCTTCCGCTACAGTTGAGTTCTCGAACTAAAAAGCAGCAAGGAAGTTTGGCCACGCAAAATTCATTTCTTGTATAACAGGGTTTTTTTTATTTGTTTCACAAAAGATCCACCGCGGAGGGCGGATAAAGACCTGAGAACTGTGGCGATGCGCCCTAGCAAAACAGATAGTTGAGCAAAAGTACCTAATACCAGCCCAGAAGAGAACAAGAAATAGCCATGCCTTCAAGTACCAGAGTTATCAACCAAGGATTGAGGTGTTCAAGAATTCATTCTTTCCTAGAACTATCGCAGAGTGGAACTCACTGTCACCAAGTACAGTAGGGGCAATGTCAATAGATAGCTTTAAACAATGTCTAGAACTAGAAGTTCAAGAGTTAGGTGTAACAAGTCGATCGGTGTAATATAGCCAGCTGCCGCCGCGCAGCGTGCCTGCGAAGCTGGTGTGTTACGCCGAAAGGCGGTTATACCGGCTATACAGATACAGAAGCTGGTGTTACGCCGAAGGGCGGTTATACCGGCTATACAGATACAGAAGCTGGTGTTACGCCGAAGGGCGGTTATGCCGGCTATACAGATACAGAAGCTGGTGTGCTACGCCGAAAGGCGGTTATGCCGGCTATACAGATACAGATACAGAAAAGCTGTCGAAATGAACGGAACCTTACTCTTCTTGCCACCTGTATGGAGGCCATACCAACCTGCAAGCAACAACGTTAATTGAAATGTCACTGCCTTTCCTGCTGTATGTTATACCATCATCTTCAAAGTGCGGATTTACTTTGAACTCTGCTGTGCAAGGCCAAAAAACACG